TCCTAAGAGACCCGGCGAGCAAAGCCGCAAAAGTCACAGAAACCAGCCTCAAACCTGAAAGCCCGGACCCTCAACCCTAAACCCTGAAGCTTAAACCCTGAAGGTCCTAAACTCCTAAACCCCTAAACCCTAAACCCTAAACCCTAAACCCCTAAACCCCTAAACCCCTAAACCCCTAAACCCCTACTCCTAAACCCTCAACCCAAAACTAGCATTGCAGACTACACATCATGATGCAGTTCGGCACCACTTTCAGCAGGTTGAACGCATTCGAGCATTGCGAGAGATCTACTGTGCGATTGCTGATATAACTGGTAGCAATACTGTGCCCACGGCGCAGACCACTGCTGACCCGGTCTATGGTGATCCGCAGGACACGTTGCCCTTGGGTTTGCCAAGGACCGCGGACTTGAGTGATGAACTTCCTGTTGGCTGGCGATCCATGGTGACAGAAAAAGTCAAGGCCCTACCAGCGGCTTTTGTACTGCAGGCGTGTGATTTTCTGCTGGAACAAGATGCAACCTCGGTGTTAGTGTACCCAGTCAGCTGGCTCGAGCTGTTGGCGATGTTTGTGCACACAGGGAGGGCGCGCTTCCCAGTGTACAGTGGAACAGCGGGTAGGTGGCAGGATGCATCTTCTCTTCAACCAACGGCTTCTAGGCTAACAGTTGCTGTACAGCTTCGACTGTTGCGCCAGGCCATCCGGGCTTTTGTACAGCTGTTTGGATTCTCTCGATTGCTAGTCCAACGTCTTGATCGTACTGAGTTAGGCTTTACATTTCCCTGTGATGGAGTTCAGGTTGGTGTTGATTTTGGGTTGCTTCAGCAGGGTCAGATGCTGCTTCGAGAGTTTTCCCGCTGTCGTGTTTCTCGCACAGTGGCCATGTTAGACAGGCCATTCTGAGTCGCTCACACAGTGAGCTTTTGGCTCTTCAGACCAATTGGACACAGCTGGCTGCACTGCTTCCGCCGTGCACCTGCTTCAGTTTGCGTGTAATAAACCCTCAACCCAAACCCCAAGATCAGCCGAAGAGCCGGGCCCAGACCGAGCGCGAGATGCAAAGCGGGCGACAGCCTGCAACGGGGGGAGCAGGGGAAGTTGATTCCTTTAAAGGGCTCTATATAAGAGTTACTCTAAGGGATACTATAAGGTACAAAAATATAGGGGCCTTGATAATTCATTAGAATAAGGTTTTGAGGGCCCAGTATACTATACTTAGAATAAGGAACCCCCAAAATAGTGTTGGTGATTATTTAGGCCCCTATAGTGGGGCCAGAGATGAGTTAAGTCCAAAAAAAATGGTCGAAAACTCGGAGCACTTTAAGAGAAACCCACCACAGCTTGGGAGTCTGCAGACAAGAGCCACAAATATCAGACATCTGCAATGGCAACATGGGACCCTGTCAGAGGTGCTGCAGCGGCTTCAGCTAGAAAGGGGAACGCAGGCCTCGTGGTTGTTGATCAATCGCTCTGCCGCTTCTCGACGGGCCTGTGCAGACGAGATGTTTGTGTTTAAATCCCCGTCTAAGTTTTGTAGATGTGGTGTGACGGCAAGAGGAAGACTCGTTAAGCAAGGACCAAGGGCCAAGGGCGACAAATGCTTCGAAGCGTCACAGCTTCTCGCTAGATTGCATCTCAGACAATTCAACTCGAAACGCAAAAATGAGTTCACGGTTGAAGTTGTAATTCAGGCACCTCAGCAGATGAGATCCAAGACCACTCGGGCTCGATGACGTCTGCTTGGAGCGGAAGCCTGGATAAGGAAAGGAACCGGAAATGCTTTCCGAATGTAAAATCTGTGGGCACATCGCAGAACAGCAGCGCCGCAAGAAGCGTAGGAATCGCAGTGGCGCCACCACCGCCACTGCCGCAGCCAAGAAGAAGAACAGCTATGGTTAATGTCAATATCAAAGACAAGTCACCGCAAGCGCCACCACTACCACTTCCACCAACGACAAGCAGAACCAGCAACGTGAGATGACAACGACACCACAACCATCAACAACAATGGCCGCCCTTCACGCAGCAGCAGCAGCAGCAGCAGCAGCAGCAGCAGCAGCAGCAGCAGCAGCAGCAGTGGCAGCAGCAGTGGCAGCAGCTTCAGCGGGAAACGACCGCAACAGTGTTGTCAGTGATTCAACGACCGGTACAAGTACTGCTACCCGTAGCCGTAGCAACCGGCTTGCATACCATGGTCTCAGTGTCTCATTGCTTCCAGCATCAGCATCCGGAATCGTGAACATGTTCATCATCATCGACCTCTTCAACCTGCTACTAGTATCGTCACAGCCTTTGCCAGCCTCGTCTTCATAGCTGCGATAATCAGTTGCCATCATCGGTACGAACCATCGCCGCATATTGCAGCTAGATTATTGTGATTTCCGACTGTGTTGCATTGGATTTGCGTTGGTCTGTATCGTACAGGAAGCTGCTTTGTAGGTTAGCGGCCCGAGTTGATCCAAGCCGCAACTACGCACTTATACTGCAAATGCACAAACAAACAAACAGAAAACAGGTCAGGAGGCTTCCAAGCATGACCGTCGATGTCGTCACGGGCGGCCTAGCCGAAGCTCAAAATCGGTGGGAAGCGCTATGCTACACATCTCCTTCTTCTGGATAGTGCCCAAACCAAAGAGTCATCCAAGAACTAAAACTCGCTGATCGCACCAGCCCGGCTTTCGCACAAAGGGACAGCCTTGCCGATACCCTTCACCGTCTTGTGTATCATTCAAATCAGCTGCCAACACCACCAAGCTGCGACTGCGCAACTTTGCGGAAGCATGTAAGGTAGATTCCAAACCCCTCAAACCCCCACCCCCCAATACTAAAACGTTGAGACCTAAACCCAGCCAAACCCTGAAGCATAGACAGGTTCAGGACGGGCCTTGCCACCGCTTTCTGCATTGCAACCGCCGAGTTGAGGAGGCAAGTCCTGTTAAGGGCCCATCCACAAAGCATGCAGCTCATAGCTAGAGCTGTTATACCTCTGCTGTGGCTATCTCACGGAAAGTACACGAAAGTAATCCAGCAGCAGCACCATGCTATAGTGTGCTGAGCATGAACGGCAAACATCAACTTCCTGTTTTTCTTCTTCATCATCATCATGATCGCAGTTTCCACCACCCTCACTATTACTATCATGGTCGCCACCACCGCTGCTATCACCGGAAGAAGCAGCAGCATGATCTCCGCCCTTCTTGATCATCATGGTCATCATCATCATCATCATCACCGTCATCATCGTCCTCATCAACAACACTAAGACCATCATCAAAAGCAACATTATCATCATGATCATACTCCCCGGTTTGATCATCTCCATCATCATGCTCCCAACGTGTCAGCACAGTATCGCAGGAACTACCACATCGATCGTCCCCACAACCATCATACCATCCTCAGCAGAACGACCAACATCGGCATGAGTCTGAGCACGTGTTGACATGGCTTAGTACTTCTTTCTACTCGCACTGCAGGCTCTCTGAACCATTTTCTCAATGCATTGCAGACCATTCTGGAGACCAGACATCTGTGAGTCAGAAGTGCGACCTGTCAATGCAACAGACTTGCCACGCACATGATGCGTGCATTGCAGGCTGTCATGTGCATGGGTGTAGTAGTCGGATTTGGCTGCCCTGTAGCTCGCCCGCCTCAGTCTTATATAGTGGATGAATCAATCATGTCTGAAGGCAACATGTTCATGGTTGGCCTGGTACGCTGCTCCACACTTAACGGCGTACCGATCCCTCTCAGCCTCTACTTTCTCGTGCGACGGGCATGAAGTAGCTTCTTGATTTCTTTCGTGATAGACAAAGCAAACATCCGATGACTGAGCAAAAGCAGCCCGTCAGAAGCACCAATGAGGACATCGAGAATGCAAGAGTTGTTCGATTCTTTCAGATACGAACCTTCGCAGTTTGACCATGTTCTCGTGTCATGTGCATTGTCTGGGAAGGCCCCGGCGGCTAAGCAGGAAGGGCCTCTGTTTGTCTGCAGCACCATTCCCTTGCCATGAAGCCCACAGCAACCCTTACTATAATGATATCGTAACATAAAATATCCTTCCTACCATAAGATACTAACTATAATATAATATTATGAAGTGCCTCAAAGCCGGAAAGCCACAACTCAGCCCAGCAGCACTTCGTCCATTCTGAAGGGCTTCGCTGTACCCTACGAGCTTTGCAGTCATGTGGCGATTCCATTGCATCAAACCAGGCATTGATGGCCGGAAAAGCCGCTGGATCCCGAATGTTGTAGCCCTGCAGACAATTTCAAGAATCAGCCGCGGTTCTGAAGCAAGAACTCTTCCTCCCTTGCAGCAGATGCAGTATCCCCGAAAGCAGCCTGTCGACCGCAAAAGTTATTCGCACATACACGCAGACGGAGACATCGAGTGGGCATAGACACAAACATGGACATAGTCGTGGATACATATTTTTATATATATATATATATATATATATGTATATGCGTGCTACGTGAACCTACGTATCAGCCATATCAACGTGTGAACACACATGTACATGCGACTGTATGCAATGGATGTAGATGTATGTGTATGTATGCCATTTGTGGTTCTGCATAAATATGTACACAAAGAAAATGCATCCGTGACAGTTTGCATGCTTGAGCATCTGTGCGCGTCCTTGAAGTAGGCCAGCGAGGCAACAGCTCTCTCAATGAAGGGCGCATACCTGAGAGCAAAACGGAAAAAAGTACGACTGGTGCAGGTGCGAGGTGTAACGGTCACTCGCTGATAGATCACTGTTCGGTTTGATCGGTCTGGTAGATCCGGATGAATGAGCAAGCAAGGTACGCGGACTCGGAATTTTCCGCAAACTTCGCCTTTCTTAATCACCCCTGGAAGGCGATTTAACGACCTGTTCGGCTTGAGCTGTCCTGATATCACATGTTCTTAGCCCTGCAGACTTTCTGGTACCGCATGCCTGTTGTTCACTTTGACGTCAGCTTGAAGCATCATTGCGAAATCGAGCATTCAAAGGGCAGGTACGGAAGGTAAACCGAAGTACTCACTCCACCAAAGGTGCGTCAAGGCAACGTGATGCAATCCTCCACCAGGGTGTCTACCTCCACTTTTGGATCTGAGGCACATGATATCAACCAGCGAGAAGCGATCTCCGAGAAAGTACGGCCCACTGCTCCTGGAGCTCAGGGTGTCCTCGACCTGATCTGCTGGAAGAAGCATTGCGGCTGTGTCTGATCAGATCTGGTGGAATCTGTGCACGCTTCCATTTTTTACGGGTTTTCGTGCCTTCCGCAGGGTTCGCTCGAAGTCGGGTCGCCCCCCACCACGGCACAGCCACCCCAGCCAGGCTGAGAAGAGCTGCCGCTCCAAGCGAAGCAGATTCCTTTGAACAGAGGTGGGAAATGGTGGTAGCTGGATGTGTGCAAGGATGATGTTGACGTTGATATTGCTCTTGCTGCTGTTGCCCTAGCTGCTGCTGTTGCCGTCGTTGTTGCTGGAGTTGTGGTTGCTGTCGTCATGGTCCGTGTTGTTGACGGTGATAAGGAAGATGGGGATGCAGTGATTGTCTACAGTCTATTGCTGTTGCACTTGTCTCATCAAGGATGTCGTTGCCGTCAGCCGTCAGCAGTTGAAGCATACCATGAGACCTTCATAAGGAGCGAAAAGGGCCATGGTTTCTGCTTCCGACTAGGGTCTTTCCTAACGGTATGGTCATCCAGAAGTCGACGCAAGCTGCTAGCATCGCACCTGTCTCTACAGTATAGGTAGCTCTTGCAAGCTTGGCTACGAGACCTTGAAGCAAGATGACAAGATAACATCGCCGTGCTGCCAAGTTGCGTACTCTGAGCATCGTCAAAGGGGTCTATGGACTGCAACAGATCAGGTCCAAGAGGATTGTGCCGGACGGAAGTTTGTAGTAGCGATTCAGTGAAACTCAAGCTTGCAGGATGCTCTGACAGTCCCGGCCTGATCAACCTCTGAGCTCGCGCCGTTCATGCGCAGTATACCTTGTATGTGAGCTTGCAGACTGACATATGTGGATGTGCGTGGCCTTCGTACTTGAACGAATGAGCTTCCAGTTTCCCATGTTATGGCCGAGTCACGCTCTATAATGGCGTCAGATGACCTCGCTGCCACAACATCTGCGTGTTATCTCAGGCCAAGATCAAAACCCCCGAAGCTGAACGTCGAGGACTCGGGCAGCTAAAGGCAGGGGCAATATGAAAGTTTCCAGAAAAACTGAGCATCTCGGAAATTTGTGGTATGGAAAGGCTGGATGTAGCGCTCGATGGATTGTCCTCTACCGCTTTCGCCGTCTGGGGGTGAAGCCCATCAAATTCGCTGACTTCACATCATGAAGCTCCTTTATCAGCCTGGTTTGTTGAGTGCCGCCACGCCATCAGCGGCTTTATCCCAACCAAGTGTGAAGTGGAAAATGAAGCGGGCATGCAAGAAGCACCCAGGAACTTGAAAGCAACCATGTTATGCCCCATCCCGCGCCCGACACGGAAGATTAGGCATTTGATAGGGAATCCTGCCTTAATACTTCGCCGTCGATGACGGCCACTGGAATCTGCCCGTTTGGCTGCAATGCAAGGAATTCCGGTGGCTTGTTGCCATAGCAGGCCATGTTGACCTAGGCCCGATGGCATGCAACAACACTACCATCTGCAAAAGACCTGCTCGTGTAAGCAGTGTCCACCTAGCAACGATTGAAAAATTCTACCGTAAGCTGATCGAAGCGGCCCGCTTGACGTTGTAGGGAATCTGTTTCTCTTCAAGGAGAAGCCACACCTGCTCGACTGGGCTGTGCCTAAAGCCTTGGCCACCACATGATCCTTTCAATACAATACCCTCATAAAACCCTGATAGAAACAGTCAGGTCATCCTTAAGGCATTAAAAAGAACCATGAGCACGCCCGCCTTGTGGCAGTATGGGCACCAAGATGCGGTGTCTCGGTAGAGAGTCACGCGCTTGGCGGAGTCCGAATCCTGCACAGACAGACCAAGAAAAAGGCTGACGTCCAAGTTTCCCAGGCAAGGAAAGCGCGGAGTCTCCGGGAAACAGCAACTACGCCAACACCAGGCGACTACGGAAAGCCAAGAACCGAAAGCACGTCAAAGACCTTCGATGACCCTTGCTTCAGCTGCGAAGCGCTCATCTTGAACACACTCCGCCTTGTCGAAAACTCGCAGATTTGCCATTGCATTGGCAACCTGTCCCTTCGACAGCTTCGATCGGAACTCCTGCAAGTCAAGAGCCAGAACACAAATATGACCTTTGCCAAACCAGGAACCGAGCGCAACAAAGCGACTAGCTTACAGAATCCCCGTCCAAAGCCCGGAGCAGGACGGACCATAATCTTAAATCGAGGTTGGGAAAGGCAGTGATAGATATCTGAATCGCCCAACGTTGCACGACCTGATATGGGAGTTTCCGAAAATAGGGGACCCTAATATAGTACCCTACATAGTAGGATCCCTATCATGAAGACCCAAAAATAAGGTACCCCTAATTTTCGGAAACTCCCATATGTCATGGAACTGCAGCCGGCATCCTTCTCCTCCCTGGAGGACTTTGCCTCCAACGCGGCCTGAAGATCTGACCACGACGGAGCGTGATCCTCGACTGCCTCATAGACATGATCATATCTCGAAACCACACGAAACCCAATGCAAACCCTGAAGGAAAAAAGCGAGAAAGACCATCTAAGCCTTGCAGTGCGGGCAAGCGGCCACGGCGCCACCGCCGCCGCCGCCAAAGAATCGCATGGGAACGCGGGATGGAGCTGCTGTCACAGTGCCTTTCCGGCACTGCTCAAAACGGGATGCCTTTTCTTGGCATAAGAACACGAAGGATTCCCGCCAGGCCTCGTGGCCCCACCTCAGAGAACCCGCGGAGATTCCAGCATTCCAGCACTCTCGGATTCACATGCGTGACAGCATGCCGAAATGTCGAGACAGGTGGAAAGCTTGTGCCAGACTTGGGAGAACGGTTCGCACCGTTTCACAGCATACAACATACAAGGCAGGGAACGTCCTCGCGAAACGCTGAATCACACTGCCAAGCTCAGCCAGGCTGCAAAGGCTTTGCGGACACCGAGAGCTGCAAGCAGCGTCACGAAGAGGCGGCGCCGAACCATGAAGACGTCAGTGTTACCAGCAGCTCCCTCGATTGATAATTCTGGAAGCATCGTCTGACACTGACCTAGACTCCCTAGACGCATTCAATCAGGTTTGCACTGCATGTCTTTGGGTGGCATGGGTGCCATTGTACCAACTTCCGCACATACCAGAAGCTCGCAGCTTTGAGCCAAATCATGAGATGAACTCTCAGGTGCTGCCTCTGGAGCTCTATTGTGCTCCCCGCGACAACGACTGTACGACCGTGCAAGCCAACAACGGCTCGTGCACAGACTGCAAGCGCGACAGCAGACAGCACCGTCGTCTGCTGAGGAATTGCGCATCGACTCTGCAAAGTCCATAGGAAAGTCAAGTTCAACGTGCCAGGGGTACCTCTCCCAAAAGAAGGCCTCGGCACAACCTCCAAAGGCACTTCTCACCGAGGCTTCGCGGATTCATGGCCAACTTCAGCCAAAGATGCCCGCATGCCTTCAGCCCTAAACTCTGAAGGCCCTCAACTCTTCATCTCCCTCTCGGCGACACCTTCTCTCGGTGTCACGACCGGGTTCACCAGCACCGTTGGCTTCAGAGGCCGGTGCTCCTTGCAAGTCCAGTATAGCTCTGCGTTCAAGAACTAAGGCAACTACGGACTCGTCCGTCCCCTTCGTCCCTTTGCCCCGCCCCCCGCAACTACGGGCACTCCCTTTGCACTCCAATATTATAGTATATTACATATTATATATATATATATACCCTAAACCCAACTCCTCGCTGATGCGTGCACGAGTCGAGAGGCGCTCGATGGCTTCCTCCGATTCGCCAATGGCCACCTTCGGCTGAGAAAACAGGCGCGCATATTAGAGTATATTACATATTATATTTATATATATATATATATATATGTATATGTATATGGATATGTATATGTATATGTATATATATATATATATATATATATATATATACGCTGCTTCGATCGCTTTTTCGGAACGACGAAGGACGACGGCAGGCTACCTTTCACTGGCTCAGCGACACCAGGAAGAGTTGCCCAACAACCGTGTCTGCTCTAGCGGCTCAGCACCCAGCCATACGAAGGTTCTTGCCGAACCTGAAAGCATGGCATCCGACCCCTATGGAGAAAATTCACCAACATCATATGCTCACCAGACCTGTTACGACAGTTGTGCACTGTTTTGCACATTAAGAAGGAGTGCAGACACCTGTATTCTGTACATGTAGATGTCACACGTGCGGCTTTTCACGATGCACGATGAGTTGCTTGGCATCTGGCTGAGGTGCGGCAACACCCAGCGGATTGTCGCCTGCACCCAGGGCCTGCAAAACACGATCTCATTCCTGCGCAGTGCTGCTGTCTCTTCTTCTCTGGCGCTGTGGAGTGGCTATGCTAAGGTACAAGAACACGATGTGACATAAACAGTCGAGATAAGAATCGACATGGACCCAAAATCCAGGTACTCCACGTCCCGGAGCTCTTTCGCTGCGGCTGCAACCTGCGCAATGAGGTGACATGGTACCCCACCACACCTGCATAGAGACTCTGCTTCGAAAACATGGATGGGATTCAGTAAGGGCAGCATTCCCGGAACAATCATGCCCGAATACCTCTGGTGCGGAGAAATCACGGACTTCGTCGGCTTTCAAGCCTCCGCATTGGATGTCGGAAGACTGGACGCTACCGTCTACGAAGAGGTTCTGAGGCTGTCGCGCAGTATCAGGCTACCGACCAACAGCGCAGTCGGCTGGATGAAGCTGGGCAGAAACCCCTGCGCAACATCTGAGGATCTCGCTGCGTCACAAGTGTTGTCTGACATCTTCCCCAGTCGTGTGTGACAGGACGCTCGTCGTCCCCAGCCCTAAATCCCAAACCCTGAAACCCAGAAGCAAAATTTAAGCCCGCTGCCATCAGCCCACGGCTTCCGCCACTGATCGCTGCTTGCAGCTCCTCATCCGTCAGCTGCGGCCTTCACTGCCAGAAAGGGAAAGCTTTGGACTTCGACGATGCCCGTGAACGCGCTTAGGGGCTGAGTACCGTAACCTAACAGAAGTGTACCTCTTAACTTTGATTATGGTAGGAACTTAAGTACCGGAAAAGGTTAAAGATCACCTGCCCAGCCCCTAAGGTGGGAGACTCCGACATGCGAAACGTGTGAGCCTATCTACCGTAGAAGAGGCTTGGCGAGCCAAATTGGCTCCCTGCCGATACTGCGAATTGGGCAATTGGAACCTCTCCGCGAAGCTGAAGGGTAACAGCTTCCTAGCCGCGTCGCACAACTCGTGGCAGTAGAGTGTGCAACACCCTCGTGACCCCACTTTTCACAACCTGCAGAATACAGGTGGAAGTTAATTCATTCGCAGCTTCTTTGGTGTATTCCTGGCAGGCATTCCTGCAGCTCCTCCCAAAGAACGCTTTGAGTTGCTCTCGGGGGCTGTCGATTTGATGATATTGTTGGACCTTGACCGAGCGGCAGTATTCAATACTAGAAGCGGTCTCATGCTATGCTGCAATTGATTTTGGTATTTCGTGCTATCGTGAGCAAATCAATAGGAGATGGTACATAAGTTTACAACTGGAGGAAATTCTTGGCGTCAATGCTCGGGCAAAGTCACGCGAGCTTGCAAACTCTAGTCGCCAAACAGGCCTTTGACCTGCCACAAACCTGTTTCAAGGGTTGAAGACCAACTTCAAACCCGAAATCAAACACCTAGTTACCCTGAACCCTAAGCTCTAGACTGTAGTCTCCCAGAGTTCGGGGAACGCCAAGTCACGTTGAACTCGCAATCCCTTGCTGGCTTGCGAACAAAGCAGCACGCTTCCTTTGCTGTCGCGCACAAGCCCTTCATCCCTTGTCTCCCTTTCCTCGAATTGTAACGTGCGCTTAGCCTTCGGGATAGGATTTTGCTTTGCTCAAAGCTGCTCGCGGTACTTGCCCGCTTTGTCATTGACCTCGCCAGGTCCTTTCAATCCCCTCGCCAATCACCCTCCCTCGCCTCCCCCCCGGCTAAATCCCGAATATTTAATTGTGGCTTCCTAAGCTCTCACAACTTCCCGGCCGGCCTGCCCGGCCGCCCATGACGGGTACGACGTGAAGCATTATCTGAGTTGTCTGCCAGCCCCTCCTGCCAGCCTTGCCACACCTGCCTGGTGTGTTGCTGGTTTGGTCTGGCTGTAACCCGTCTGAACAAACAGAAAAAGGCGACCACATTCATGCACCCTCCTGTTTCAGGCATACACGCTTCACCCGTCGAGGGGAACCGCCGTGTCCTTGGCCTTCCCGTTCTGAGCTTTCCTCCAGCCACGTCCCGGAGCACAACCACACTCCCGCTCGTGAAAACCCACGGGCACATGTTTTCGGGGTGGGGGGTGTCATTGCAGCCGCCTGATCGTCTGGCATCCTCCGGCTCTGGGTCCCGGCGATCGCCGCCACCGACATGGCGGCGCTGTGGCCTTGCCCCTCCTGCCTTCCCTTTGCATTATCCATCCTTGCCCCAACCATATTTGGTTTTGCCATTATCGAAGCATTGTTCCGCACATCGCCGAGCTCACGATGTCCGTGGTCGGGTAGCAGCGGATCAAGACCTCCGGAGGCCTCCAACAAATCGCCCTTGGACCCATGTCTTCCGAAGACAAGCTTATGATCACTGTCAACACAGAGGTGAAGTCCGACTAGCATGCATCCACCAGGCCCCCCCCAGCTCTCCAAAGCTCTGAGCTTCGCCACACTCATCAAGATACTCAAAGCCCTACTCTGCACTGCCACGGTGCATTCTTGGGCTCACATGCCTTGATGCTGCAAAAAAAAGTGAACATGTGATCGCAAACTGCAACAACATCCGCCCTGCTTTTTGTTGGAATTGACCTCCCGAGCCACGGGACTTCTACACAGATGGCCAGCGCACTACAACTTTCCATGCAGCCAGAAATTGAAAACCCACCCCAATAGTCTAGAACGCATCACGGCGACTTTTGCATGTGAGTGAACACTGTGAAAGAAGTACTCTTGGAAGTGCGAATCCTAAAATGAGAACTGAAAGCAACTCTGCAGCATGGTCGACAAGCTGTG